ACAAAGATGGTACTAGCAAGAAACAAGATAAGAGTGAGTTTCTCTATGGATGCTGCTGCCAGAAGAAACAGAATAGAGATAACCATCAGATTCACCACACGAAAGAAGTGCTATTTTCATGATTAATTAGTGATGATTAGTTCAAGTTAGAAAATGGATCAACAGTAGTGATCCGAGCATATTACAGATATTGAGAGGTGCCAACAAATCACAACATGCCAATAGGCAAAGGCTATGTTGGGGCCAAAAAAAGTGAAGGTCCTCCAAGACACTTGGTGCAGTGGTGCAGCAGTGAGAATCAGCTTAGTATCTCATGACAAGATAACAGGCAAGGTAAATCTGTGTTTGCTGATTGACAGAACAGTGAGAAAATTTCCCATAGCAGTAATAAAGGTGGACATGCCATATTACATGGGTGACTTTGAGGCCATGTGTATGAAAGCATCCATTTATGACTTGGTGCTTGCAAGTATCAAAAGGCGACATCCTGAATGTAGGTCTGCAGGAACTGAAGACGTGCAGAAGAAAGACCCTTCACTGCAGAAACTTTGGGACAGTGCCCGAGAGAAAGTCGAGCACAACACAAAATTGAAACACTTACAAAACAGATGACCAGAAAGGAGTATTGAACTAGACCTATCAAAGCACTTCTAATGGGGAAGCTAAACATATCAAAGGCAGTCAGAAGTGCTTGTATGACAAGAAGGCGAAGAATCTACATTTCAAGTTCAGACAGGTTTTAGTTCTGCTACCTACAGACAACAAGAAACTCATCTTGCAGTGGAAAGGACCTATTGAATTACAGGAAGTTATTACCAAAATGTACTATAAAGTGAAAGTGGATGGGAAGACAAAGACTTACGATGCCAATCTGTTGAAGAGATACTTCGAGAAGGAAGAAGACATAACTAGTTCAGCTATTGAGAAACAGATGGATATGTGATTTTGTTTTAGAAGATAAAGACCTATTAGGCCTAAGACCAATGGGTGGAGACGAGGCAAACCAAGACCACAACATAATTGAAGAATTGACTGGCAAGATTTACAGGAGCAACTGTGCACAGATGGACCAGGCAAAACAGACTTCAAGATGATGACAAAGGATCCTGTGAAGGTGAAGCCCTACCAGAAAGTTAAGTCAGAAAATGTTAAGTTAGTGAAAGTGAAGTTGACTGCGTGATTGTTAGTTTAGCAATAACAGGTGATATTTTAAAGTGAGTTTCACAGTTTAAAACAGACAAGGAGAATAATTTGTCTTGTCAAAGAGTATTCTAATGTAACTGAACCCACCTGTGTAGACTTTGATGAAAAGGCGACAATTATTTAAAGTTCTGGATACAACTGTGGTAACCCACAGGATAAAAATATAAGTGAATTTATCACAGATTGTATAGTAAGAAACAGAGTAGAGAAAAACAATTCATCTTGTCAATTAGATTCTAAAGTAACTGAATCAGGCTGTGTGGACTTCTGATAAGAAAATATAATTATTTAGAGTTTTAGATACAACTGTAATATCCTATAGTGAAAATAATTTTTGTACATATATTTGACTTGTTTGGAATATATTATTTTAAAACAAGTGGATTGTGTGCTGTCTGTGTATTGTTCGTATTTATCATCAACAAGTCACAGACAACTTCTGTAAAGAATTCAGCCCCCTTATCCAAAACTAGACAAGAGAGAACTATTGGTAATTTTTGAAAGAGACGATGTGACAGGGTCTGATTTTCTATTTTATGGCTCTGCAAACAGATAAGATTGAAGGCTATAAAAATTATGCTTTGCCTGAATGATGACATCATTAAAATGAGTAATTTACGTTAAATTTCGTACTTTTCGGAGGAATGGTATATAAATTAGAGCATACGTCACAATTCTCATAACAGGGGAACTCAAACTTTTTTGAAATATTGCCACATGAAATTAAGAACTTAAAACTTATATAATATTAAAACTTGGTTTATTAGCTACATTTCTGTGCCAAGTTTATTCATAATATAAGTAGTTTAATTAAATTTTGAATGTAACCCAGTAAAACCTCATAACATGCACAGAAAAAGATGCCCGTAGAGAGCAGGTTAACAGCTTAGTAAAGGTATCTTGGCACTCTGGAGCTGTTTCATTCAATTAATCGCATCCTTTATTTTTCATTTAGTGTTTGATTCTTGGTTTAAGATTACAGTGTTTAGTACAAATACCTGATGATGACAAAACCTTGTCGAAACGTTGTACATTTCCTGTTATGTTAAACTTATACTAAAGTTTTTCTTCATTACCCATTCAAGCCATCTCTAAGCACTATTAGTCTCAAAGTTGGTTCCTCGTCATCGAATTTAGATATGCTGTGTTTCTTCAGTTGCAATGGTGGTAAACATGGGAGAGTTTTATAAGAATATTTGTGAATCTGGTTTCAAATCTTCTTCCACTTTCTTTAATGTACAATTCTGGGCAGTTATTACACATCCTTTTATAAATAATATTAGTATTGTGGGAGGCTACATAATTTTTATTTAGTAATTGTTGTAGTTTTTGAGTGAAGGATTTTATGTTTTCAAGTGTTCTCCAAGTGAAAATTATTTCTCACTGATTTCAGGGATGGATAGTTAAATTTCAGTGTAATATTATGCTGTTGTTTGGTTTATTAATGCCAATTTCTTCATTAGTTGAGCTTTGGAGCTTTTCTTGTGTGATAATTTTCAACAATGACTGGCGGAAATTTGTTGATGTCAATGAATTTTGTTTATAAGGTTGATTTCTTCATCTACACTATTCAATTGAACAGACTTGTAAAGCTGTGTTAGTAAGGTTTATTAAGTGTATTAATTTTTTTGTTTGGTTTCATGAATGAAATTCTAGGCCGTATAGAAGCCCATGTGGTGTGTGTGTTCTTAAAGTGAACTTGGGTTTTGAACCATGTGTCAGATCTAATAATGTTGAGGTTAATGAAAAATATCTGTTTGTTGTTTTTATGTTTCATGGTGAATTTAATATTAGGGTGAATGTGTTAAAAGAAAATGTATATGTGTTCAGCAAAAGTGAAACTACCAAAAGTGTCATTGACATATCTGTACCAGTAGAGGGGTGGGGGATTAAGTCTGTATTTTATTGTTTGTGTTTTGATCAGAGTGAAACTACCAAAAGTGTCATTGACATATCTGTATCAGTAGAGGGGGGGATTTAGTCTGTATTTTATTATTTGTGTTTTGATCAGAGTCATAAATATGTTGGTTAGAACAGGTGAAACAGGACTGCCCATGCCTAAACTTGAAGAAACCTTTTGTTGTTGGAAATGGAATTGGTATTTTAATGTTTAGAATAAAAATACTTTTCTTCATCTCAAAAATCTCAAATTTCATTTGTGAAGTCTCTAAAACCTCTTAAATACATTTCAAATGTTTGTTTTCAGTAAAACTTTATATTTTGTCTGTTATTTTCTCTACCCTAACTCTATATGAGGTTGGTCACTTTCACAAACCTTGTAACCACCAAAAAACAATTGAAAGAAATCTAAATTAACCTTTTTTTCTTTCTTTCTAGAATGACTTCAACTTGTAACATGAAACTACATTTGTTCATCATAAGTAACTTTAAACTCGTAACAGTATACATTTATTTATACCTAAATTTTATTGTTTTATTGCCATTATAAGTTGTAAATCACTTGGAGAACGTGAGCTATTTTGAGCTGCTCACATGTGTGCCTTGTGAAACATTTTTATTATATTATTTATTTTACTTAATTTAACCTTAACTAACATAAAGAGAACCCTAATTTTACATTTTAGTTACTTTTGTAATAATAGATAAACAATAAACATGAAAAACAAGAAATAAAGTACTTACCCAGGGCTTTTTTTGCTGTCGAAAGTCAATGACACTTAACCCTTCTTTTTAATACTAATTGTAGTAATGCACTAAATAATTTTTTATACTAATTGTAGTAATGCACTAAATTTTTTATACTAATTGTAGTAATGCACTAAATAATATTTATTTAATTAAATAATGCACTAAATAATATAGAATAATAACATGCAAAAACCAGACAATGTCCCATAAATATCACAATTTTTTTTGGCTTTCTAACAATGTGACAAGAGCCGTTACAAATTCATCCAAGCTAGTTGTTATCTTTCCCATGGGAACAAAGCTTGTACAAACAGAGAAAATTACAATTCTCAGTTCAGAAGACAACATAATATAATATGTCATTTGATAGATGAAAACCTTGGCTTTCTATTGGTTATACATAATATAGTATTAACAGCAAGATAGAACTATTAACAAATCCTAAAAGAGAGGATGTGACAGGTGGGTGTGGCAGGAGGGGTCTGTTTTTCTATTTGATAGCTCTGTAACCAAACAAAATTGAAGGCTATAAAAATTATGGTTCGTCTGAGCAATGACGTATTTATAGTGAGTAAGTTTCATGCCTAGAGAAAATGTGTCACCTTTCTCAGACTAGGGGAAATTCAGAATTTTTTTAAATATCGCCTTATAAAATTAAGAACTTAAAACTTATATAATATTAAAATATGGATTATTAGCTATGAGGTTATTCTATACTAATTAGTATATCTTAAACGAAAAGTAGTTTAATTAAATTTTGAATGTAACTCACAAAAACCTCGTGACATGTGCAGTAAAGGATGCCTGTGGCTATAGGGTTAACAGATTTGGATCATTAAGGTAAAGTGCAATATTACAAACTTCCTTAACAGGAACTTCAGTGAAAAGTGACCGACATCAAAGCTAGCCATTGAAGCTTTAGGGTTAAGTTGGTCTTGTGCGTTTCTGAAACTGGAAACATCCATAGAAAAAGAACCTGTAGATGTTAAAAGCTTGCCAAATTTTGTCAGAAATATATTATGTATAGTTTCACACTTCAAGTTAGCCAAATTGGCCCACTTCATATGGAAAGAGTAAATTAAAGACATTTTCAATAACAAAATCTATAAGCCAATAAAATAATAAGAAAACAGATATTTCCTACAAACCATGCTGTTGTCGTAGTTGCTTCTTCGCCTCTTTTCTTCGGTTGTTAAACCAGTTGTTAACTACTGGAAGTGTAACCTTTTCACGTTCTAATACTGGCCGATCTGTAAATGACAGCTTTTCTTAGTTCCTTTTCCTGGATCCCATGTCAAAATTAACTGTTCACTTCTAAAATTTCCTTTTAATTACAATACTGTAGATCTAAATTAATTTTACATAGAATTAAACATATTCATGTTTTGCTGAAATTTTCACATCACAGAAGAGTGGCATTTCTTTTTCCTTGTGGTTAAAAACTATATAGATGGAAAAAAAGCCCTATTGCAAAGCAAGTTTTAACCCTTTAGGCACACTCATCAGCATATGGTGACCACATAATACAGTTTAAACTTTCCGTTATACATGCGAATGACGTGGGTAGTTATAGCAGTAATGCTGAAGCTGGGCCTATGGGGACAACTGATGATTGTGTCATGACTTTGAGGTTACCACCATTATAAAAGGGCCAAATTTCAAGTTAAAATTAAAGGGAAATCTTGGTGTAATAACAATCTTCCAGTTGCTATTGCTAGTACAAATGAGTGAAGAACTACATATCCACATAGGGCTAGGCCTGGTAAGGCACAACAACTTGCACATGGACATCTTATTCCTAGCAATGGTTGTGCCACTACTGATAGATGGAGGTTGATGGTGAGTAATGAACATTTCCAACCTTGATGATGGAAATATAATGTGGCATTGCTCTATGTCCCTATCCTTGCTTTGAAAAGTATCACACCCTGAAACAGTACAAGTTTTGCTACCTAACTATGTGAACATCTGAGATGGACTACAGTGGGTGCTACAGACATAATATCAATTTTAACATTCGTGAAATTCTTCTTGGGTGTGGTTCAACATTGTAGGCAGGATTCCTCAGTAACATCTGAGATGGACTACAGTGGGTGCTACAGACATAATATCAATTTTAACATTCATGAAATTCTTCTTGGGTGTGGTTCAACATTGTTGGCAGGATTCCTCAGAAGTGCAAATCTTTCTTGTAAATTTTATTGTGATAATAAATAAATGACAATACATACTGATTCTGTTTGTGCACACTTGTTGTACAATAAAATAATTGTAAATTCATTCCCCTAAACAGCTTCATTATTGTTTTGCAATTATTATCTGTATTCACACATCACCTTCAAAACACTGGTGTAAAGATGACATAATTTGCCCATTCAAAAGGTTCTGAACAATAAATACAACATAGTAAAATGTAAACAACAACTATCCTTTATGAAATCAGGTGATTTTATTTGTGTCAAATCAAAAGAATAAACTATAAATTTCTCTAATATTGTGGCCATATTGGAAGTGTGATATCATCAGATACGTAAGATAGGTCAAATTAGTTGCATATTTAGAATCATCAGGTTATACTGAATAATTGTTTACACACGTGTCTTGGGCTATTTCAATGGTTTTAGAGGTATACTTCATCTAATTAGATGCTATATAAACCTTAACAAAATGAACATGCCTAACGAGTTAATAAAACCATGATATACATATATAAATCATATATATTGTTTGTCTTGTGTTTTCAAATTATAAGTTGTTGTGAGGAACTAGTTCAAGTAATTTGGTAGAGGAACTCTACACAGACTGAGCTTAAAATATGATCAGACAGAAAAAAAAAGCACGAGTTTGGTGGTCATTTAAATTTTAACTACATGAAGCTGATACCAAATAAAAGTGATGTTAATGTTGCTTTTAGCATGAGTACCTTTGCTAATCACCTGCATAGCAAATGACACTTGCACTGTCCCGCTATCTACATAAAGTCTATAAAATAATGATTCTCAAACATTGTTGCTGTTTGAGTGCAGTCATTTAAATTTTAACTACATGAAGCTGATACCAAATAAAAGTGATGTTAATGTTGCTTTTAGCATGAGTACCTTTGCTAATCACCTGCATAGCAAATGACACTTGCACTGTTCCGCTATCTACATAAAGTCTATAAAATAATGATTCTCAAACATTGTTGCTGTTTGAGTGCAGTCATTTGAATTACTTCATTATTAACAAAGTGTTTCCTGTTTATGTTACTCTTTTGTTACAAACATAAAAACTAAACAAAGTAAAAGATTTGAGCATTACAGTCACAGATATAAGACTTAACATGTTACACTTTACCCGATAACTATGATTGTTACACAACTCTGATGTGTCCTGTCACTTCTCATGCAAATCTAATCTTTAAAAATGAATATTTTCACGACTTTGTTTTTTTTTACTAAAAATACTTGTAACAAACATTACTAGAATGAAAAATACATGTGGATGTTAACAAACTGAACTTTTCAGGATGTGTGAATGTTTACAAACCTGGTCGTCCTACAGCTCTGTTACATTCTTTTACAATCTCCTCTCTCGTCTGTGCATCAGGATATGGATCTTGTTCGTAGTAACGTTCAAGAACTGCCAAGTGTGATGTCTTAAAGGTGAATCTCTCTCTTTTCAGGGGGATCAGGTCCCCACTATCCGACACCATTCGCTTTACTCCAGAGCTAGGGCACAGTTGAGCTAAAAATAAGATAGATGTCATGTTTTAAAATACCGTAACTATTTTTGTTTGGCACGTGTGTAATGTTCAATCTTAAAATGTCACGATTTTTAAAAAACAACGATTATTTTATACATAATTCTATAAAAATGAGATTGTTTCCAGTCTCAAAATTATTAAAATACAATAACTTACTGTTCAAGATAAAAAGTGGTAAAAAACCTGATGAGACTGGAAAACAATCTCATACACTACGTGTTTCGATGTATACTATTGCGTCATCCTCAGAATTAAAGAATTTCGTGCCATCTGCTGACAACATTTCCATCATCCTTATTCAATAATTTAAATTTACTTTTTTTACATTTAATTTTTGTAAATTATCTCAATGTAAAAAAAAGTTTTTAAGCTTGTAACTATTGTTAGAAATCTTGTTTCTCTTAAGTGTAAAACTACTGACTGAAACTCCAGTGCAAGTAATGTTAGCATGTGTACAATTCATTATTGTTTGTGATTAAGAACACTTGTTAAAAAACAGTGTCCAAAACATTTCTTATTTTTGCTGTCACATACACGTGTCACAAGACAGCTCCACTCTCTCCTTACAATGGCTCAAACACTGATAATTATTACTACCACTACTACTGGCCCAGAACAGAAATTAAAATTTCCAACACTACTATTCATCATTTGTTTCTGCCTATAGTGCAACAGTTCTGTTTCACTTCAAGTGGATAAAAAAATGTTAGTTTTTATATACAGTATTTTATGGTACAAACATTTTTAAACTCACGTAGTTTCCATGGGTTATTTTTACATGTCAAGTACCACATGTAAAAGGTGTTTTTTGTACGATCTGACATCTCCAGTGTGTCTCCACGGAAGAAACGACTGACATAGGCTTGACTCAGTCTTGTCATTTCTGCGATCATCGTCTGTTTGAGGTTGTATCGCATCACAAAATTCCGAATTTCTGCTAACATGGCTTCTTCTCCCTTTCTAAAAATTGTAATATAAGCAAAAGACAATGAAAGTCAATTTGATTTTCATGCTTAGAAACACAAATCATTAAAATGTTTACCTGCCATTCCCTTTATATGAAAAATAATTTGTTTTGTTTGTGTTGAATTTTGCGCAAATCTACATGAGGGCTATCTGCGCTAGCCATCCATAATTTAGCAGTGTAAGACTAGAGGGAGGGCAGCTAATCATCACCACCCACCGTAAACTTTTGGATTATTCTTTTACTAACGAATAGTGGGATTGACCGTTAAATTATAACGGCCCCACGGCTGAAAGGGCAAGCATGTTTGGTGGGACGGGGATTCGAACCCACGACCCTCAGACTGCGAGTCGAGCGCCCTAACCACTGGCCAAGCCGGGCCGAAAAATAATTTTAAGTCAGAAAAGTTCTTGTGATGTTCATACAAGTTCATAATAAACAGAAAAAAGAAATTAAAATAACGACAACAACAACAGAAAACTAATTATACTTGGACAACATGAAATTAACTGAATTAAATACATATATTACTTATAAATAAACTCTAATACTAAAGAATTACAAGTTGCTTTTATTTGTATGGACAAATATTTCAATTATTTGTTTTGTTCAGGAAAATGACCTTCACTAAACTTTAATTTTTGACAAATTGCTTTTATTTATATTGACAAATATTTCAGTTGTTATTTGTTTTTTCAGGAAAATGTCCATTACTAAATTTTAATTTTTTACTGCAAGTAAAATGTTTGAAATAGGAAAGCATAAAATATATTCATTTATAATTTTTGTTCATTTGTTGTAAAGCACAAAGCTACACAATGGGCTAACTGTGCTCTGCCCACAGCTGGTATACAAACCCCATTTTTAGCACTATAAGCATCAACTTACTGCTGAGCCACCAAGATGCAATATTGTAAATATCAGCACAACCAAAAACAAGAGGGAACCCTCAATAACAATGGCATTTGAAACTTCAGTTTGAGGGTAGGCTGGTAGAGATCATGATGAGTAATAAAATTGAATCAGGTATATATGCACCTCATACTTGGTATTACATGTAATTACAGCTAATAAAAACATGTTGTTGATTACTCTAATCCTGCCTAAAAGAACTTCAGTTTGAGGGTAGGCTGGTAGAGATCATGATGAGTAATAAAATTGAATCAGGTATATATGCACCTCATACTTGGTATTACATGTAATTACAGCTAATAAAAACATGTTGTTGATTACTCTAATCCTGCCTAAAAGAATTCTTTTTGGCTGGATTAGAGTAAATTAATCTATAAGATATTGGACATAGTCAAATACATTAATCAAAAGGGTTTGACATCCTGAGTCCAAAATTGTAATTATATCTCAAATCAGTCAAGAAATGACAAAGCTATGAGTTAAAAGTACTTGAAAAACTCAGAGCCATCCTATGAGCCACTATGCCACAGCTACAAAGCATTATGACATATTTTCAAGTAAGGGTCCAAAATTATTTCAACATATTTTCAAGTAAGGGTCCAGGATTTATTCAAATTTTCATCATTTTAGATACTTTTGACTGTCAAATGAATTTAAACTTTTTAGATAACTTGTATGATCAAATAGTAAAACTGATTACTTTAGACAACTCATATAATCAAACAGTAAAACTGATTACTTTAGATAACTCATTATCAAACAGTAAAACTGATTACTTTAGACAACTCACATAATCAAACAGTAAAACTGATTACTTTAGATAACTCATTATCAAACAGTAAAACTGATTACTTTAGACAACTCATATAATCAAACAGTAAAACTGATTACTTTAGATAACTCATATAATCAAACAGTAAAACTGATTACTTTAGATAACTCATATAATCAAACAGTAAAACTGATTACTTGAGATAGCTCATATAATCAAACAGTAAAACCAATTACTTTAGACAACTCACATAATCAAACAGCAAAACCAATTACTTTAGATAACTCACATAATCAAACAGCAAAACCATTTACTTTAGATAACTCATATAATCAAACAGTAAAACTGATTACTTTAGATAATTCACGTAATCAAACAGTAAAATCGATCACTTTAGATAATTCACGTAATCAAACAGTAAAATCGATCACTTTAGATAATTCACATAATCAAACAGTAAAACCTTTTACTTTAGATAACTCACGTAATCAAACAGTAAAACCGATTACTTTAGATAATTCACATAATCAAACAGTATAACCAATTACTTTAGACAGCTCACATAATAAAACAGTAAAACCGATTACTTTAGATAATTCACATAATCAAACAGTAAAACCGATTACTTTAGATAATTCACATAATCAAACAGTAAAACCGATTACTTTAGATAATTCACATAATCAAACAGTATAACCGATTACTTTAGATAACTCATATAATCAAACAGTAAAACCGATTACTTTAGATAACTCACATAATCAAACAGTAAAACCGATTACTTTAGATAATTCACATAATCAAACAGTAAAACCGATTACTTTAGATAATTCACATAATAAAACAGAAAAACCGTTTACTTTAGATAACTCACATAATAAAACAGAAAAACCGTTTACTTTAGATAACTCACACAATCAAACAGTTAAACCGATTACTTTAGATAACTCACATAATCAATCAGTAAAACCGATTACTTTAGATAACTCACATAATCAAACAGAAAAA